AATAGCACAATTGTTGGCACAATAGGACTGGAACGGGGGCATTCCAGAACAAATGTAACCTAGAAGGAAAAAGGACTAATCCAGGCTTGGGAGGTTTCGAGCTGAATTTAACTGCATAAAAGCAAGCTTGCCCTTGCACTCAGGGCCCATCCCTCCTGAAGAGGGGTGGAGTATGTTTCTGACCAGAAACATCTAAATCCTATGGACTTCCTCTGTAATAAACTTTCTTGATACTAAATTTTAGGTGTCAAGCGTATTTCTAACATGGTCAGAACCTATCATGCTAAATAATAGGTATAAACATTTCATTGTCTTAACTATTGTACCATTGGTAAAGGATTGGGTATGGGATGTGGTACTAAAGGTTTTCAGGTTAACCTTTTCTAGCTCTAACTTTTTGTTATATTTTAGAGAATTTATTTAACCTTTTAGCGATTTCCTGCCATAGGAGCAAGGAGTGTCCAATAATGGTAAGAGTGGATGAGAGATTATGGACAGGAACCTGGAAAGGTCTTTTGTTATCTGGTCCAACAGATTATATCTTTTTCAAGTGCTTTCCTGGGAGGGTTCTCTCTTCTACTTTCCTCTCCTATTCTCTTAAAAACAATAGAAGAACAGTACTGGACAGGTGAATAGGAGAGAGAAAGGACTTACGGGCCCCATTGACTATGATGCCTCCCTGGAGAGTTTTCACCTTGGAATGCTGGAAGATCCAGGAGCAGAAGTTTTCAACTTGTTGCACAAATTCAGGATCCAGTTCACTGTCATGAAGTTTCTCCAGCTGGGAAAGCTTCTTTCTGTGGGTGGGTCTGTCGAAGATAAAGCATTTCTTCTTGGGGAAAAACTGGCGGATACACAGACGAGGTAGGTTGAACATTTTAACTTCTTCGGGTTTGCCTGAGGGAAGGAAAGGAGGAGTCTTGTAATAGAGAACAGAGCCGGGACTTCTCTCTAAAATTATGGCCCCTTTCAGGGACTTCTCTTTGGGCTGAGATAAGCTTATTTGTGCTAGGTCTTTGCATGTTGACTCCCTAGTTAGAATGGGAGCTCCTGGAAGGTAGGGTCTGTTCCTCCCCTCCACCCCTTTTTTTGTATATCCAAAGCTTAGCACTGTGCTTGGCCCAATAAAGATGCTTAATAAAAGCTTGTTGTTGGTAATGATGATGATGATGATGATGATGATGAAAAGACAAAGGACTTGTTCCTAAGATAGAAGAGGGGTTCAGATTTTCACTGAAGGCAATAGTCTAGACTTCAGCCAAAGTGGGATAACTTTCCTTGTCTCCAGATAGGCAGGGAACCATAACTAAATAAATCATTCAGAATATGCAATAAATTCTGGAGATGGTTTCCCCCACCCCCTGCCCCCTCCCCTTACTCCCTATATCACTGCACAACTCTCAAGCTCTTGAACCTTTCTTAGGCTTCAGTGAGATCTCCAGGTACTCATCAGCGGTGATGGGTTTCCCACCTATTTCCAGCTCCAAGGTGAAATCACGCACAGTCCACACAAAGTCTGGAAAGAAGCTCACAAATTCTGAGGAGTTTTCTACCTCATCAGTGTTGGGAGCAGATTTGCTCTTGATGCGCTTTGTCAGCTCAGTCACATAGCTGGGGAATTAATTAAGGAAATATGGCAGAAAAAAGTACCAGCCCTTGTTCTACAATTCCTTCAATTCTCTGAAATCTTTTGCTTCCCCTTGGTCCTGAACCAATTGATAACTTTTTCATCATGAAACATGAGTAATTTCTCTAGAACTTGTGATATGTGTACATATATATGTATATATATGTACACATATATACATACACATATATACATACACACATATGTACCACACACACACACTCACATACACACACACACACACACACATATACATATATACATACACACACTCTTTTTATACCTGTTGTTAGAACATGAGGAACAGAACATGGGCTTCAGAGAGATTTTTGGGCTAAGTGAAGGCCCTCCTCTCCTTCCTTTCCCAAATGTCCTCTTCCCCTGAATCACAGAAAGGATACTGCAGCTGGTCCATTGCCTGCTGATTGATGGTGCCCATGCTGTTATAGATAAAGGTGCTGCTCAGTAGCACGGCCAGGGCAAAGATCCACGTGTCATTCTTGTTATCGCCCTAGAAATCAGAATACATTTCCTGGCCTTATTACGTGATACTTTTTCACTCCCATGGCGGCTCCTAGATTAGCATACCTGTATACTTGGGTTTTTGTAGGCCTAAGATCTATAATAGTATTAACGTGCTCTCTTTCATAATCAGGCATGAACATGTCTTCCCTTCTTACCTTCTCCACATCACCCAGCCCCTCAGTGTCCAGGAGAACAAGGGTGTGATTTGGTTTCTCGGGATGAGGAACACACCATATCCAGATGCCCTTGGTGTGAGACTGCACTGTGGAGCCAAAGGAGAAACCTGCACAAGAGTTTGGAGAGATGAACATGGAATAATCTGGGGACTTTCATATTTGATGAATGTCTTGGGGATTAGTACAGCTGTGTAATGTTAATCATTCACTGCAAGAAAGTTGGCTATTTTCCCATAGTGAAGAAGAGAGGCAATTACATATAACAGAACCAGTATTTTAGGTCTAATTTTCAAATTACACCAGAGAGAAACAAAATAGACCAGTTGCCTGACCACCTCGAGTAGGAACATTTTCTTGTATTTCAGAGACCAGTAGAGATGCCTAGGAAGTTTTTCCTTATTGATTTCCTGTTCATTCACTCACTCATTCACTCATTCATTTGTTTATTCATCCATTTATATATCTATCCATTCATTCATCTATCCTTCCATCTATTCATTCATTTATTGAACTTACTTTTAGTGTACACCTATTTTGTGCAAGGTGCTGTCCTAGCAGTTATGAATAATACAGTGATAAACAGGGCTTGGTCTCGTCTCTTAAGAACTTCTGTCTTCTTAGGAGATATAAGACATGCATAGAAAACTGTGTTAAAAAACCAAATATGCCTAAAAAAGCCCAAATATGCTTTGGGCAAACATAAAATATGACAGGAATTTAGGGGAGGGCAATTTCATTTCTTGGTTTAAGGGCCTGAGATCTCTTCAGAGAGGAAGAGGTCTACCTAAACTGGACTTTGAAGATTAAGTAGGATTTTGACCTGTGGAAATATGGCCAGGAAGAATAGGGAATGGTGTCAGTGAAGACACAGAAACAGATAATGGTACAACCGGTTTGGGAACTAGTCCTTTGTCCAGTTTGCCTGACTTCTAGAATATGGGAAGGAGAGTAGTATAAAATATGTCTAGAAAGGTAAATGGGAGCCCATGAGTTACAGGATCCTAGATGTTGAGCCAGAAGGGACTTTGGAGATCATCTGATTTCACTCTTTCATTTTGTAGATGAAGTCAAAGAGACAAAGTGATGTGTCCAATTTACCGAGTTAGTAAATAAGAGAATTGGGTCCTAAGCCCAGATTCTTTGGCTCCCTTTGCTTTTCCTTCAGTCCCATATAGCCTTAGTCTTCTACTTTATTAGAATGCTTGCGTAAATCAGCTTTACCATTATCCTATTCCCAAAGGGCATCATGAGTCTTGTTCTAAGGGGAAACTAAGTCAGTGTGGCATAGATCAGAGAGTATGAGGCCTCAAGTCGGGAAGACCTGGCTTCAAATCCCACCTCCAATACTTACTAGCTGCATGACTATTGGCAAGGACTTTATACCTCAGTTTCTTAATCTGTAAAATGTTGATAATGAGACCAGTAGTGCCTACCTCATAGGCTTGTTTTTGAGGCTCAAACAGAATAAGGTATATAAAATGCTTTGCAAATTTTAAAGTGATATATATAGATATGGATATGGATATATACACATATATTCATGCGTGGAAGTTATACATTTGTACACAAGACATGTAATGTGTATATATGCTATTATAGATTGTATTTTGTATAAATATTATATACATATACCTATTATATTACATATATGCACGTCACATACACAATTCTACAATTTATCACATATATAGTATATACAGCATATAGGTTACTTATCATACCTGTGCATATTGTTATATATGTACTTATTACACATATAATATACATACACAATATACATGCATGCCTGTATGTCAGATATTATTGAGGCAAGGTGGAGGAAACGTCTCCTTTGTCTTCCAGATTACCCTAAGGGGTCTAAAGCAGAGGTTAGAATGAGACCTTGCCTTTCCAGGTCTATCCCTCCTTGTTAAAGAGAAGTCACCAAAATGAATAACATGTAGTTATGTGTTAAAGGACTAAGCATACGTACCATTATTTTGATGATTGCACGTACCTGATTTTTTCCCTGCCAGCTTATTCACCAGGTAGGACTTGCCAGTGCGATACAGGCCCACAACAGCCACCACCACCACAGGCTCGGTTATTGAAGAGAGAATCTCCAGTGATTTCTGGTTCACTATCAGTTCTCCATTAGCGTTCTCAATTAGACACACTGGGGCTGGCATGTGGACAGCAGTGGCCATGTTGAAAGTGGTTTATTATCTGCCAATGAAAAGTCTGGTCAAATAGGCACTGAAAGGCCCAATTGTTATTTCTAAATACAGAGCCAGGATACAGCACTCAGAGGACTACTGTCCTGCTGTCATTTGTGACTCTCCCCATATATGTAGTAGGAGACTCTTGTCTCCCTGAAGAACCAGAGACTTTTTTGATCTAATCAGCCCAAACATTCACTTCTGTATTTATCTTCTGTCTCTTCAAATCCAGTCTAGAAGAGAAAGCAATGATGTCTGCTCTATTTGTCTCAATCTGTGTGAATCTAAACTATAGGCCCAGACAATTTAAACCAAGAAGGAGCCTTACAACACATACAGTCCAATCCACCCTCCCAGTATGTATGAGCAAAATGTATCCCCATGAGGTTCAATGATTTGTTTCAGGTCGTGAAGGTAGTTAGTAGTATGGAAGCATATCTATTAAGGATCTCTGTTTCTTTTGAAATGTTAAGAAATAATATTAGGATAGTGTCCTGTCCTGAATTCCTTAGTCTCACTTGGATAGAAAACCTAATCTGTATTTGATCAAATTCTAAGGAAACAAAGTCCTGCACTGAAATCTTTTTGCTATATTCTTAGAAAAGGGCTAACCTGTTTCTCAAAGGGAGGGGCTTGACTGAGTCAAGGAGGAACCCAGGAACCCTGAAATCGATAAGAACCATGACCAAACTAAGAGGAGGAATATACTTTGAATAAGCTCATGAAGAGCAGCACCCTTTTTGTTCACCCTTAACCAGAATGATCTGTTTTAGGGAAATGGCTCTTCATTGTGTGGAAGTTGTTACTATTATTCTGTTTAAGATTATGGATTCATTCTCAGAGTAATGCTTTAAAATGCTAAAATACATAGAATCACAAAGAAAACAAGTTCTATTGTAATAGTGTGCTCAAAATATTAAACAAAATAAAAACTTCTGGATCCCAGGTGAAGAACTTTTGTCCTAGCAGACTTCCGAGGGTATTGTTATCTTGTTATCTCTTGCCACCATCCTCTAGCGGTTAATGAGAATAACTGGGGACACAACGGTGCCTTTGTAGGGAGTCAGTGGGAAAAGAAGATTTACTTGCCATATTGATTTTGCATTCCTTTCTTCCTTCATTTTTTCATTCAACAAGTGGGTGGCTGTTACAATGTAATAGTGACTGAATTGCTCTGGGAGATCCAAAGATGCCTAAGAAATCATTCATGAAATCTAGTCCTCTGTCTCTCATGTCCTAAACCTGACCTGCTATCTATCAGGTATTCCTAACTTTGGGTCTGTGAACTTTTTTTTTTAATTTTGGTAATGTATTTCAACATAATTGGTATCTTTGAAGATCTTATGTATTTTAATTTATGCATTTGAAAGTATCATTCGTAAATTGGAACCATAAGCTTTCTTAGACTGCTTAATAGGTCTGACACAAAATAGGTTGGGAACCCCTGAATTCTTGACTCAATCTTGCGCCTCTCATTGAAGATACTTCACCCTCTCTTTTTAAACTCTGCCTTTGCTTTGTCTCTTGTCTCCATCCTTCCAGTTTTTGTCTAATGCCACTCTATTTTTCTGATCCAGATTCTGCAAACACTCAAGGTATCCTGTTATCTCAACTCTGGCTAGAGCCCTGAGGTGAAGTCTCTTGATTCTTTATTGTGGTGAACTCAGTTTTTCTAAGAGCATTACACTGGATTGCGGATTTGGCTTTGCTTTGGGGCTTCAGGATATTTTGACTGCTTGGAAGAGTAGTAATAAAAGTCACAGAATTTCACAGCTTCCAGAGAGCTCCCTGGCCATTGAGCCCAGCTAACATTTCAGCAAGAATCTTTCTCACAATCACTGAGAATGATCATCCAATTATTTCTGGAAATCCTTCCACGGAAGAAAACCACTGCCTGTTAAGGCAGCCTGTTACATTTGAGGGCAGCCATAATCGTTATGAAGGTTTTCCTTAAGTGAAGTCCAATTTTGCCTCTTTTGCCATTGCTACCCTTGATCAATCAGTGGGGACCAGCCAGAGCAAATTCAATCCCTCTTCTGCTTCACAGCCCATCAAATACTTCAAAACAACTAACCCTTCTTTCCAGGCCCGACATCCTTACTTCCTTCTTCACTATGGCATCAGTCGTCCCACAGCTCTGGTAGGTCTCCTGTGGATACCCTCTAGCTTACCCTTGTCCATCTTAAAACATGGCTGACCTGAACCTAACACTCCTTCCAGAACTGAACACATGACTGAAGATATATTTGACCAAGGCAGATAGGCCCAAAGAACCCCATGGTCATCCTTTACTCTCTGTTTCCTCAAGCCTGAGCTGGTATAGAAAGTTTTGCAAGATGGCTTGTGAGGTACAGCTAGATTCAAGTCCTGCCATGTGATGGTCAGTTGGAGGACCTGGTAAGTTTTGTCTGCTTCAGAGAAGACCCAGAGGGACATGCAAGCTGTGTCCGAGTGTTTGAAGTGTTCTGCTTGGCCCCAGAGTGCTGAACTGGGAGCAATGGGAAGAAGTTATAAGACAGGCATATCTCAGTTTGGTAGAAGAAGTTGTCAACAAACATTTGTTAAGCATCTACTATGTGGCAAGCATTGTACTTAGCACTGAGAATACAAGGAAAGGCAAAAATAAGTCTTTCCTCACAAGGCTCTCCCAGTCTAATGGGGGAGGCAACATGCAAACAACTATGTACAAATTTTCCTTGCAATTGTTTTTTTTGTTTGTTTTTTTTGGGGGGGGCTAGGCAGTGGGGTTAAGTGACTTGCCCAGGGTTACACAGCTAGTGTCAAGTGTCTGAGGCCAGATTTGAACTCAGGTCCTCCTGACTCCAGGGCCGGTGCTCTATCCACTGTGCCACCTAGCTGCCCCCTTGCAATTGTTGTACAGTTGTTTCAGTCATGGCTAGTTCTTCACAACCATATTTGGGGTTTTCTTGATACTGAAAGTGGTTTCCCATTTCCTTCTCCAGCTCATTTTACAGATGAGGAAACTGAGACAAACAGGGTTAAGTGACTTGCTGAGGGTCACACAGATGGTAAATGTCTGAGACAAGATTTGAATTCAGGAAGATGAGTCTTCCTGGCTCTGGGCCTGGCACTGTACCCACAGTGCCCCCTGCCTGCCCAGTTAGAACCGTCCAGAAGTAGAATGGGATCCCTTGGGGAGTACATTCCTCCATACTGACTATGTTCAAGTTCACAGATGGTCACTTATTGAGTATGTGATTGAAAAGATTTTGGTTCAAATTTGGTTTGGATTAGGTGGTCCTTAAGGCCTTCTCGAGTTCTGAGATTCTGTGATGTGTCTTTGGTGGGTTTTGGTTTTTGCCTTACCCCATATTAAACAATGATTTGCTACCAAATGAGATTTGAAAATACTTATCTTTGTATGCACACACACATGTATGAAACACACACGTACAGCTATACATATATTTCACATATACATTTTGTTAGTTTAGATTTGAACATGCATGTATACATATATGTATACTTATACAGAATGTCAAGTTTTATATATGTGTGTGTATGTGTGTGTGTATGTATGCAAACCCACATGCACACAGGATGTCCCAAAAGTATCAGCACACTATCAAGTTATTAAAATGTAAAACTACACTAAGTCTTTTGGGATACTCTATATTGTGGGTTATTAAAGGGATAGAAATATAAAGCAGTGTGGTACAGTAGAAAGAACCCCTATTAGTGGCCATAGACAAGTCATTTAACTTCTCAGAACTTCAGTTTTCCTTTTGTTAAATAAAGAAGTTGGACCTATTGAGGATGAGCTCTAGGATCTTATAAATTGGGGCTGGGAAGTTATAAAGAACCTGATTGCTTCTGTCCCTTTCACATATGGTTAATTCCAAAGCCTTTCCTGGGTGGGTCTAGTTATCATCAGAAAAGAAGAAAAAAGTGTTTTCTTTCATCTGCCAGAGGCCATTAGGTGACCTCCTGAGCACCTTTTGGGTTTGTCCAGTCGTTACCAAATGTAATCGTAGGGCCCCATAAATGCCTGTTGTCTGCTTTCCTTAACCAGCCCCCAGATGTTTGATCCTTTCTACCTGTCCCGTTTCTACCTGAACCCAGCTTCTTAGGACCCCTGCTACCCTTTTCTGTATGAAGATAGTATCATCTGTTGGATGGAAAGAAGAACCAAAGAGAAGGTAGAGAGAATAGAGGAGTGAACCAAAGAGAGGAAGGAAGGAAAAAGCTGATTACAAAAGTCAAAAGAAAGTCAGTGGCAAACTGATCAGGGATCTGGGAATCTAGTCACAGAGGAAGGGGCTTAAGGCAGCTTTGGTTTCTTTGAATATGGAGTTTGTTTTAAAAAAGAAAAGCTCTGTTCAGAATGGAAGAAGTGTCCCACCAAAGATGTAAAAGCAATAAGTGAATGTTGCCAGTGTTTCTATAGGATAGCCCATAGGATCTGCCCTTAAAGATGGCAAAGCTGGCAGAACTCACCATTTCTCTCCTAATGGGAGACACTGCCATAGTGACTATAGTGGTAGACCCAGAGACAGAAATCCCCCCTCAAATAGTTACTGGCTCTGTGGCTTGGGCAAGTCCCTTCCCTTCTGGCCTCAGTGATCTCATCTATAAAATGGGGGAGGTGGTGTTGGACTCAGGGACATCTACACTTCTTCCCAGTTCCAAATTGATGATCCTATAACATAGCCACCGATTCTGTGCGCATGCCACACATCTATGTAGTTACTAACTTACCCAGTAAAGAGCTCAATTTTGCTTTCGTTTTCAGTGTGCCTTTCCCTTCTGCACAGAGTTGGGTTTTTTTACTAGACTTATGAAAACCTGGAAAATCTGAGGCCTCAGTAGTACTGAGTAACTGGCATAAAAGATGACTGAAAGAGCTTGGAAGCCAATTTTATTTGTCTTTGGAAGGGACTGCTGGGGCTATGAATGTGTCGTGTATGTTAACAATTTTTAAAAAGAAGGCATAATTGAGATAAGTTGTCATGAGATCATGGAATCGTAGATTTGGAGCTGGAAGGACCTTAGACTTTTCCAACTCTTTCATTTATAAATAACTACAATGAGGCCCAGACAGGGGAAGTGATTCCCCTACATCACAAAGGTGGTGAATGACAGAGGCATGATCTAAATTCAGGGCCTCTGACTCCATCGGTTCTTGTCATGGTCTGGAATGTGTATTTGTTTGCATTGTTTTGTTTTGTTTTTGTTTTTGTTTTTGTTTTTGGTGGAGGAGAGATGAAAGGGAAAATAGGAGGTAGATCTGTAATTTCATTGGCATGGAAACTCTCAACAGAGGAACCCCCTGTCTTGGTGCAGACAGGCACCCTGCTCCATAACTAGTATTTTTTTTTTTTAGGCAATTGGGGTTAAGTGACTTGCCCAGGGTCACACAGCTAGTAAGTGTCAAGCATTTGGTCTGAGACAGGATTTGAACTCAGGTCCTGCTGACTCTAGGGCCGGTGCTCTGTCCACTGCGCCACCTAGCTGCCCCCATAACTTGTATTCTTAAAGAGCTGCCTTGGACTCCTAGGGCTTGAGGGGTCTGCCAGTATGTATCAGAGGTAGGACCTGAACCTGGGTCTCCCTGGCTCTGACACAGCTCTCTCTCCTGTCTGTACTGCCATGACACAAGCTCAGTTTGGAGCTCTCCTGGCTAAGCAGTCAGTTTGTTTTCCATTGTATGTTTCTCTGAGTATGTGCTTTAAGTTACCTCTGCCACAAAAATCCTCATTTGTAATGGCTAGCAGGCTGCCCACACCCATCAGGTGGTTCCTTATTACCCTGTGGACGATACTTTATTCCCATTCTTCCACAACTATACTGTTCCATGATTTGTAGTCAGTTCTAAGTCATCAGAAAAATATTGGTGTTAGAAAGATTATACTTTAGGGAGGACTCTGGAGTAATGAAAAGAACTTGGCTTTTTCCCTACAGCAGTAGAGACCATTCTGCTTTTGCTGTTCATTCCCAAGTCCAGTTCAATGTCCGTTGACAGCATCTATCCAAGACACACCTGTCTACTAATCACCAGGTGTCTTTCATCTACTCGTTTTTCCTGTGTGGCTATTTTAGTTAAATCCTTGAGTGATTCTCAGTCCCTTTGGGTGGCTCTACAGTGTTGTGTGGGCTTGAGACAAACAGAAGTGTCTGGTAGGCCTCATCCTCTGCAGGGGATCCCTCTTCCATTGAGAACAGGGATTCACTTACGGGTGTCCTGGACTCTTGGTAACAGTCTGGTAAAGCCTATGGACCCTTCCTCAGATAATGTTTTTAAATACATAAAATAAAGTACAAACGTTACAAAAGAAGCCAATTATATGAGACACAGTTATCTAAAGACTTTTCCCATCCAGGTTCACCGGGTCCTCTGACCTTCCTTGGGGGGAGCTATGGACCCCGGGTTAAGAAACCCTGAGTTAGCCCCTGTGCTGGGCGTCCTCCAGGAAACCTTTAAGGAGCATATATCTGTTTTTGTACCTCAATAGTAATAACTAGAAAGTTGCCCTTTTTTACTTATCTAATACTAATAATAGCTAGGATTTATATATCACCTGCTTTGTGCCAGGCACTGTGCTAAGAGCTTTTTATGTCTCATTTGGTCTTTACAGCAGCCCTGAGAGGGAGGTGCTATTATTATCTTCATTTCATAGGTGAGGAAACTGAAGCAGGCAGAGGTTCAGTGACCTGCCCAAGATCACACAGCTAGTGAATGTCTGGAGCTACATTCAAACTCAGGTCTCCCTGACTCCAGGTCCAGCGCCCCTTGCACTGTGGCGCCCCCTAGGGTCCCTACCTAGATTCTTTCCCTCCCTGCTCCTCTTGGTTAATTCCTAACTGGCAGGGATTACCTTGACTCTGACATCTGAGTTGCCCTCTAGTGCCCTCTAGTGGCATCCAAGAGACAGCGCTATGGAGGGAAAGAAAACCCTCTGGTTTTGGGTCTGAGCTCTGCCACTCACTTCCCACTGTGACTTTGGGCAAAGCTCTTAGACTCCTTAGTTCTCAGTTTCCCTATTTTTAAAGCAAGGATGATGCCTAATTTATTTGTTAGAGTGATTTTTTTTTTCTGGCTCAAATTAGATAATATTTTTGAGCACAATAGTTAGCATTTCCATAGGGCTTAAGGTATGCAAAGTGCTTTAATATATTATGTCATTTGATCCTCACAATAATGCTACCATCACCCCCATTTTACAGATGAGGAAATGGAGGACGAGAAGGCAAGTAACTTTCCCAGGATCCTGTAGCTAGTAAGGGTTCTGCAGGAGGGCTCAAACTCTGGTCTTCTGACTCCAAGTCCAATACTCTCTGGACTAAGTCACCCTGCTGCCTCAACAACATAAGCCACACAAATTTTAAAGTAAAGTTATCAGTACCTCATCAATGTCCTTGGTCTAATTGTCTCATTCTCTTCCTTTTCTGTTCTGAAAAGCAGCTAGGTGATGTAATGGATAAAGTGCTGGGCCTGGAACTCAGGAAGACCTGAGTTCAAATATAGCCTCAGACACATTATTCTGGGCAAGTCATTTCATCTCTGTTTGCCTTAGTTTCCCTATCTGTAAAAATGGAGACAATAATAGCATCTCCCTCTCTGGGTTGTTGTGAGGAAAAAATGAGATATTTTAAAGTGTTTTACAAACCTTAAAGTGCTATAGGAAGGCTAGCAATTTTACTGACATGCTAATTATTATTCCCCAAACAAAGCACATGATCCTTCAGTTTTAAATTCTCTGACTGCAATAATCTTAAAGCACTTTCATTCTGGACAGCCTTGGGAGAGTTGCATTGGGTTGCGGCCACATTTTGTTGCAACGTGTTATCCAACCCCTCCCTACCATCTAAGGCCTTTTTATGGTCAAAGGTCTTTTTGTTTCTGCACCACTTAGCACAGTGCCTGGCATACTGTAAGTGCTTCATAAATATTTATTGATTTTTTTTTATTGAGAGAACAGGAGTTCTTAACCTTTTTTGTGTCATGGACCCCGTGGACACTGTGGGGAAACCTAAGGATCCCTTCACATAATAATGTTTTCTAAAGTGCAAAATAAAATGAGATTTGAAAGGAAACCAATTCTATTGAAATAAAAACGTGTTTTTTCCCATCCAAGATAACAGACCCCCTAAAAACCATCCACTAACCCTTTGGGTGCCTGTAGACCCCAGATTAAGAACCTCTCTAAGCAAGAACCCTAAGGTCCAAGGCTATAGTAAGAATTCAATTAGGTGAGAGCAAGAAAAGAAGATGGAAGGAGGAATATCCCTTCAACACTAAAGTTGTAAGAAAAGGAGGGGAGAGGAGAGAAGATCACAAGAAGTCCATGAAATAGAGGGAAGAGGTAGTGCTCAGCCTGCAGCAGGCATTTGATCCTGTCCACTGACTTCTTCAAGATTTAAGCTTGGCTGATCCCTAATGTTCTCCATTGGGCTGTTCAGTCTCATCGGGGTGCTGGTCTGTTTCCTGGAAGCGTCCCTTAATCAGCAAGTGTTTATTATGCAGACCACTGATACTGGAAGCAGTGAAAACAGTCCCTGCCCTTAGGGATGTTGTAGTTTAGCAGAGGTTTAGTGAGAAAATAAAACAGAAAATGAGACTTTGGAAAGAAGGCAGAGAGACTAGGAGAACCAGCCAAGGAGTCCAGTAGCAGATGGTGCTGCAGCCTCACCCTGCAGGAAGACTGGGGAGTCCTCTGCCTGATGGACGTGAGAGAGGACACTCCACTGGTGAGCCAAGCAGCGCAAAGGTACTGAATGGACTGACTGACTAATGTGGGCACATAATGTGGGAGCCCCGATCCGCCTTCCTGTCAAACGGCTCTCAAACAGCGAGTAAAGGTGCACTCTGTTGGAAAACAAGAAAGCCCCCACGGAAGAGAAAATACAGAACAAATCCTTACCAGTGCCCGCTTACTCTGAGGAGGGTAACTTCCTCTGCTGTCGTTTTCCTCCCCTAGTTCTTGACTGTTCGTCTTTATTCTGAAGTCTCGGCTTCTGAGTCCTGGGCATTTCTGGGCTTTCACAATATGAAGTTTAAAAACAAAAAACCGTCAAAAAAGGAAGCAATAAGAAGTGAAAGAGAAAGAAAAAGAGTTTTCCCTTTGAGTCACCCAGTGACCTGAGAAGCTGTAAAAGGAGTGGGGGGTTGGGGGTTCAGGCGGGGAGGGCGATGCTGAGGGCAGGCCCTTTGGGGCCAGTCTTTCTCCAGCTTGCAAAATTTCTTTTCTTTTCTTTCTTTCTTTCTTTCTTTCTTTCTTTCTTTCTTTCTTTCTTTCTTTCTTTCTTTCTTTCTTTCTTTTTCTTTCTTTCTTTCCTTCTTTCTTTCTTTCTTTTTTTACCATTTACTAATTTATTTTTAGTTTTCAACATTCACTTCCACAAGATTTTGAGTTCCAAATTTTCTCCACATCTTGCCCCTTCCCCCACCCCAAGATGGTGTGCATTCTGAATACCTCTTCCTCTAATCTGCCCTCCCTTCTATCACCGCCCTCATCTCTGATCCCCTTCCCCAGGATAGATTTCTACACCCCATTGCCTGCACATCTTATTTCCCAGATGCACATGAAAACAATTTTTAACATTTGTTTTTAAAACTTTGGGTTCAAAATTTTCTCCCTCCCTCTCCACTCACACTCATTGAGAAGGCAAGCAAGTCAATACAGGTTATACATGGGTAGTCATGCAAAACACTTCCATAGTAGTCACATTGTGAAAAACTAACTATATTTCCCTTCATCCTATCCCAGCCCCCTCCCCCAGTTATTCTATTCTCTCTTTTAACCCTGTCCCTCCTGAGAAGTGTTTGCTTCTGATTACTCCCTCCCCCAATCAGCCCTCCCTTCTATCATTCCCCTCTCTCTTATCCCCTTCCCCCTAATTTTCCTGTAGGATATAATAGATTTCCATACCCAATTGAGTGTGTAAGGTATTCCCTCCTTAAGCCAAATCCCATGACAATAAGATTCACTCATTCCCTCCCACCTTCCTCCACTTCCCCTCCACTGTAAAAGCTTTTTCTTGTCTGTTTTGTGTGAGATAATTTACCCCATTCTACCTCTCCCTTTCTCTTTCTCCCAGTATAATCCTCTCTCACCCCTTAATTTTATTTTTAGATAATACCCCTTCATCTTCAACTCACCTTGTGCCTTCCATCTATCTATCTATCTATCTATCTATCTATCTATCTATATACATATAATTTTTCCCTCCAAATACCCTAATACTGACAAAGGTCTCATGAGTTACAAATATCATCTTTGCATGCAGGAATGTAAACAGTTCAACTGTAATAAGTCCCTTATGATTTCTCTTTCCTGTTTACCTTTACATGCTTCTCTTGAGTCTTGTATTTGAAAGTTGAATTTTCTATTCAGCTCTGGTCTTTTCTTAATGGGATAAGTACCCACACTTTGAAAAAAACTGTTGGGAAAACTGGAAAAGAGTATGGCAGAAACTAGGCATAGACCAAAATCTCACACCATATACCAAAATAAAGTCAAAATGGATTCATGAGTTAGATATAAAGGCTGATGATGTAAGCAAACTGGGAGACCAAGGAATAGATTACCTATCAGATCTCTGGAGAACAGAAGAATTCATGACCAAACAGGAGATAGAGAATATTATGAAAAGCAAAATGGATAATTTTGATTACATTAAATTGAAAAGTTTTTTCACAAACAAAGCCAATGCAACCAAGATTAGAAGGAAGGTAGAAAATTGGGAACGAATTTTTACAACCAGTCTCTCTGCTAAGGGCCTCATTTCTAAAATATATAGAGAATTAAGTCAAATTTATAAGAATACAAGCCATTCCCCAACTGATAAATGGTCAAAGCATATGAACAGACAGTTCTCAGATGAAGTAATTAAAGCCATCTATAGTCATATGAAAAAATGCTCTCAATCACTATTGATTAGAGAAATGCAAATCAAAACAACTCTAAGGGACCACATCACACCTATCAGATTGGCCAACATGACAAAACAGGAAAATGAGAAATGTTGGAGAAGATGTGGGAAAATCGGAACACTAATGCATTGTTGGTGCAGTTGTGAAATGATCCACCCATTTTGGAGAGCAATTTGGAGCTATGCCCAAAGGGATGTAAAAATGTACATACCCTTTGACCCAGCAATAGCACTTCTAGGGCTATATCCCACAGAGATCATACAAATGGGAAAAGGATCCACGTGTACAAAAATATTCATAGCAGCTCTTTTTGTGGGGGCAGAGAATTGGAAATTGAGAGGATGCCCATCAATTGGGGAATGGCTGAGCAAGTTGTGAATGTGATGGAATACTATTGTGCTCTAAGAAATGATGAACATGCTGACTTCAGAAAAACCTGGAAAGACTTGTATGGTCTGATGCTGAGTGAAGTGAGCAGAACCAAGAGAATGTTGTACGCAATAACAGCCATGCTGTGCGATGACTAATATTGATAAATTTAACCCTTCCCGGCAATACAGGGATCTAAGACATCTCCAGAGGCCTTCTGATGGAAAATGCTATCCACATCCAAAGAAAGAACTATGGAAGTTGAATTGCTATTTCTTTTTCTCTTCTGTTGAGTTTTGTTTTCTCTTTCTGATGGTTCCTCCTATTGGTTTTAATTTTACTTACAACATCACTAATGTGAAAATATGTTTAATATCAATATAAATGTATAGCCTATATCAGATTGTGTGCTGTCTTGGGGAGGGTGGTGGGGAGGAAGGGGGAGAAAAATTTTAAACTCAAAACCATATGGAAGTGATTATTGATAAATCAAAATAAATTAATATAAAAATAAAAAATATAAAAGCAAATAAAAGTGAAAAGTAATTCAACCAAAGAATGATTAATGAGATTTTGCTGAGTTCCAAACCAGTCCAATTAGACTCAGAGCTGTGGTCTTGGATCAAGGGTTACCTATATATGTTTTAGGTTATATATCAGATCCTGGTACTCAGAGACTTTGTCCTGATTCAAGATGAAATGAGGGGGCCTTTTGTCCTAGCTACCACCACCACAAATGCTGACCAACTGCCACATTTGGGCAAGTAGTCCCTGGAGGCCTAGGAAGAGCAACATGGCCTAGACCATCAGCCTTCCTGCCAGTCTGGCCCACAAATCCAAAATCTTGGAATTCAACTCTCACCCTGTGGAGAAGAGGCCCTCCATCCTTCTGCTTGGAACAAAGGTGCTGACCAACTGGCCCTCACCAGACTGGAAATCCAGCCTCAATGCATCTGTTGGGCATCCTGAGCAGAAGTCATCGTACAGCAAGAGGATCAAATCACCACCGCCATCTTATCATCCCCTACCCTCAGACCTTGTCAAGATAGCTCAAATCCCTTCTCCCAAAACCTGTAGGAAGGGGAGTGCCCTTAACCTCTAACCCCAATCATCAGCCACTACAGCTGTTATCCTGGGGAGTAGATCCTTTGAGACCGGAATTTATCTATACCACTACCTCCACTAACAGCTATCATCCAATTATTGGCACCACCTCTTAGCAGCAGGTAAGTATGAGAGCCCTGAAACAACAGCATCCCCTTCACCCTGGACACCTCTCCTGAATCCAGCCCACCCCAGGCAGCCATGGTCCAGGGGAACAATTCCTTAGATCTGGCTACTGACTCAGCAGGTGCTATGGCCTCCATTCCTTCAGTAGCCACAGTAGCAAGTGAAGACCGCTAAACAATCCTTGGTACTGACCAATGGTGCTGCAAGGGTGGTTTTAATCAGCAGAAGAGACAACAGAGGAGATACATTAGTATCTGATTTTCTGCTGAACCCTTAGGACCAGTGAGTGGCCTTTCCATGACTTCAAGCTAAACCTTGTGTGTGTGTTATCTCCTCATTGTACTGTGAGCTTCTTGAGAGCAGGGGCTATCTTGATTTTGTATTAGCATTGTCAGTAATTAACACAGTAGTTGGCATGTAGTGCTTAGTAAATTCATTCATTCATCTGGAGAAAAAAAGGGAGGTGGGAAGATTCTAAAGGTAAAGTTGTTGATGTGCTTCAGGGCTCAGTTTGAATATAGCAACAAATAGATGGACTCTAAATACATTTCAGAACACAAGCCACAATGTGGTAAGTGCAGAAAGCCCTGACTTGAGAGTAATAAGGCCTGGTTTCAAATCTCGCCTCTGCTGTTTACCACCTGCGTGACACTGAGCAAATCAGTAGGCTTCCCTGGGGCTTACTTTCCTCAATTGTAAAAAGAGGGGGGTTGAATTAGAGGTCCCCTAGGGTCCCTTCCACCTCTGTGTGGATGATCCTATGAGAACACTCAGTATGATGAAAATGGTTCACTCTTGTGATCTGGTTGCTCTGATTACTCACAGGAGTAACTGACAATTGCATTCTCAGACCAACGTAATGTACAGTAGAGGCGATAATCCTGAGGGATGCAGGGCTAGCAGGAGGTAAGAGAGACAGCCAGGAGAAGACAGGCAGCCAGGGGACAGCAACCTGGGACAGGACACTTGCCCATTTTTAAAGTAACACACACATTTTTAATGCTAGAGCATTTGGGTCTCTATGTCATGAAGATATCTGTTATGGAGTAATTTAATTTACAAATACTACAGTGTAAGATCTAAGCCTTTGGTGGACACTCCATCACCTGACTGGGTCACTCCTGCCTGGAATGCTCCCCCTCCTCATCTCTGCCTTTTGGCCTCCCTGTTTCCCTTCAGTTCTCAGCTAAGTGAGAAACTTGTCTGGATCCCTTTAATGCTAGTGCCTTTACTCTAATGATTATCTCTAATGTATCTTATATAGCTCTCATTTGCACAGTTTTTTTCCCCATGGTGTCTCCCCCATTAGATTGTGAGGTTTCTGAGAGGAGGGATTGAATTTTTCTTTCTTTGTATCCTTAGCACTTAGCTTAGTTTCTAGCACATAGTAGGCACTTAATAAATGCTTGCTGACTGACTGGAAGGCAACAGTAAAGGAGGGGCCAACTTTTACCCCTTCATGAGGTCTCAGACACACCTTGTAGCAACTCTAACCCTGTGGCATAATATC